TCTGTTCACTTCAGTGAAAGCAAATCTGATCACTTTGTTATCAGAGATCTTGAGCCGAAGAGCTGCAGTGTATTAAGAGCCTCATGCCTCTTTGCAAGATGCTAACTTATGTGAACTAGCCCTGTGCTATTCCTCCTTCTGTTTGTTTTATTATTTTCTCGAGCTGCCACCCACACAGGTGTTACCTAACTCACAATCCTTATTCTATTCACAGAGGCTTTCCTTCCAGCACAGAGGTGCTTTTGATAATGTCTTCGAGCACATACAAATGTCTCTCTAACCTATTTCTTTTTGCAGGTTACTCCATTTTCATGATGTTTGACAGATTTTAATGAGGCAGTACTAAGAGCAGTCTGAGACTTGATTCCAACTGGCCGTATTATGGTAACTATGTGAATCTGTGTAATACTATATATAGAAATCATCTTATGTTTTCATTTTCTCTCTGCTCTTCATAGAGGAAAGATAGTTCATTTCATCCTTTTTGTAAAATGCAATGTTTGTGTTCTGGTTTTGGTTTTTTTTGGTGTCAAAAAAACATCTCTCTGCAGAGAGATGAGCCTTCTGTTTCTCCTTTAAATCCAACATCTCATTAAAAAGTAATAACTTTCCATAATAATCATACTTTGTTAGTAAGAAATTGTCTATGTATTGCTATATCTGCATGGCTGTTTTGTGGGCCGTGTATCTTGGAATTACTGTGTTAATAAACATATTCACATTGTCTTTTCTCAGCTCTAAAAGACCCAGGATTTCAGCACGTGTAGTAAGCCAGCATGCTTCCACTGAGGTTAATGGAATCAGCGTTTTTGAATCATCTGAGAATCAGGTCTGATAACAATGTAATTTTGTTTGTAATTTTGCCTTACTTGTTATTACACCTGTAAGTCATACTTTGCCTTGAGTTGAAGCTGTGGGATTCTGGATTGGTTTAAGAAGAATTATTCTGCATTTAAATTTAGAGTAGTTTGAAGCAGACTGTTTCTTTGACATCCAAATCCCTATACACACACAATTTCTTCATTCTGCATAACAGTCATGTAAAATAGATATTGTGAAAGCAGTATTTTGTGTATAAAAAAACAAGGAAAAAATGTTCCTTGGGGATGGCATTGTTCAGAACTTGGTACCTTTCATTCAATTCTGTCTGTGTTTTATTTCCCTTTGGCTCTGAAGAGGCAGTGCACTTGCTAGCACCAGTCCTGGCACTAAAACTCGAACTAGAAGTCTGTGCAGCACCTGTGCTGAGGGGAAATCCTGCTATATCCTGGCAAGATAAAAGCATTACAACTGCCACTGGTAGAAGGATGTAATAAGATAGATTGGATTGTCTTACAGGCACACAGACAAAGGTGAAATGGAAAACAGGGCTTTCCAGTTCTGAATTTGTCATAGTTCCCCATGCAGAAAGTCAGTGTATAGATATAGAAGGGCTAGCAGATATATCTGCGTACAGATAAGTATAAAAACTTGCTAACTTTCAAGAGGAGAGACCATTACATTTATATATTTAATCAGTCTGGAAAGAAGAATGTGATGTATTTTAAGAAAATAATGGTAACGCATCTTTTATTGTCAAATACTGAAACACAAACTTCCAAAAGCCAATGTTAATATAATTCACAGGATCACAACTTCTGGTTTGACTTTCTTTTGAAATTCAATTTGCGTGATGATTTTGATCAAATGCCTGGGGTTCTCACATTTGTATCATGTGATAAAATGTAGACAAAAATATATATATTTAACTTATACGAGAAATCAAATGCATACTGTAACAGAATATGAATTATCTAGCAGGCTGCAGAGTGATAAAAGGTCAGTACAGATACAAGCACTGAGCACACTTTGAGCTTTTAAGATAAGAATGTAATTGTAATCTTCTCCTTGCCTTAATAAAAAATATTTGAAATAGGAAAAAAAATAAAAACATAAAATAAAAACAACTATTCAGAGATCAATGTAAGGCATTTGGCTGAAAACTGAAGCAAGACATTTTAAAACAATTATTGTCAATAAATACACTGAATTTAATTTCTGGGTTAAAGCTATGCTTGATAACTCCAAAATCCCTCTTTGCTCATTAATCATATGAAGGAAGATAGTGAATAATATCATCTTTTTCTCCATGGGAAGGTCATGTCTTAGGCAAATTAGAGTTCCGTTGCCAAGTTGGGATTGCCAAAAGAGAAACTTTTTCTTTGTTGGATTGGATAAATACACAGCTGGTTTTGGAATCAGTTGTAGTGAGATTGAAATTAAAAGGTTTATTTTCAAACACTCTTATATGAACACAACAGAATTTAGATGCCTGACATGACATAGAGGAGAAATATGACATATGCAATATTATGAACTTGCATGCTTAGAAAATCAAAATTGTCCTGCATGGTATTTTCCCTTCATCTGTTTTTTAGACTTGGTCAGTTCTGTGCAAATTATTCTACTTTTTGTTATGGATTCCTCTTATCACTAGGAATTGGTCACTTTGGCCCAAAACAACTGTCACTGCTGGTTACATTTCTTTCTAGCTTTAGAGCTTTATTTTGTTCTATTTCTACATTGCTTTCTAAAGGAAATGACTTAATTGCTATAAGACAGAAAAATTAAATATGGCTATCCTGTTTCCAACGTTTCTGAGATTCTAAAATTCTCTTCTGAATTCATTCTCCTCACTTAGATCTCTGTATGTGTGCAGGTGAGAAAACCATTGGAGGTATGTGGAAGAGTGGTGGAGGGCTGAGCCCTGGCTGCTTCCCCTACACTTTGCCTGCAGCGTGGATGGGTCCAGAGGTAGACACGGAGGCACAGCTGCACCTCTGCCTTTTTTTTTTACTGAGGGCACAAACCATCCTGTTCTAACCAGACCCTGGCTGACTGCTGTGTCTGTGCAGCATAAACCCTGAACTCAGTAAGATAACAGTTGTTATCACAGTGCTTTTTATCTGGGAGGCAATGTCTTAAATTGCATCTGACCTCTGTATGCACAGAGAAGCAAGTGATGAGAGCTCTACCTAGATCCTCAAAGGTTTTAGATGAAATCAGTAAGAGTGCAGTACCTAAACGAATACTTCTGAGGATAATAGCTTCTGTGTCTTTCATCCATGTTTTGTACAAGGGAGACTCTGAACAGTAATTTATCAAATGATGTATTGTGAGCCTTAGAACACAACAGGATTTTCAGCACTCTTTTTCCCAAATAGGTTCACTAATGCTTGATACTAAGCCATTTCATTTACTACCACCATCATTAGAATAATTAAACTAGCTGCAACATAGATTAAACTTTATTTGTGGGTAAAGCTTCTGACTGTCCTAGGTCATTGAAGTTTAGCAACAAAGCTCCATACAAATAGATTTTTGTAATAGTACCAATAGGCTACATATGACAAAAAGTAAACAAAGTCATATTGGTGCGCTGTGTGTGTATCCATCTTAGCATATTTATATTTCTGTGCAGTGCAAGCTCAAGGTAAACCCATACGACCATGTGCTACAAGTCCAGACAAATAGTTCTTTTGTGCTCTGTTAAGGCAGAAGAATGAGCTATTATTTTTTCTGTATATTGAGACCCACTTGTTTGCCAGCAAGTTGTTCAGATTTCAATGGGAAGAAAACCAAGCTAAAATTGCCACGCTGCAAAATTAAATGAATTGGAATTCTGTTCCTCCATGAAAAGACTTGAAACGAGATTTAAATTTTGTATCTGTTCCATAAAATTAACCACTGCATCTGGTTTTTCTTCTGAACTTGTTCAGATAAGTTGATGAAACTTGGGGGTTATCTGACAGTAACACAATCAGATGGAGATTTGTTCAGAAAATTACAATGCAGAGAGGGACACTTAATTGGTTCTGTCAGCAAACAGAAAGCACTAGCTTGCATTTCCAGAAACTGCCTAAAACTTTTACAAATAGTCTGACTCAGGTAAAATCAGGCTAATTATATGTTGGGCTCAAAAAATACTCATTAGAAGAACATTATTGGGGTTATAATGTCCAAAACATAACGACAGGAAACAGTGTGATTAATAAGCAACTGGTTTGACAGCCTATTTTATCTATTGCCATGTTAATTATGTGACTGTACAACACAGTACACAGACCTTCAGCTCTATTCATTATCTTAGCTACTTAATATCTTATTTAAACCCACAGAGTGAACACAAGTGTTTGCTATGCTTTATTCAAATTATACTGCAAAGAATCATATTGATTTTCTTGTGAAAAGGTGAAAAAAAAAAATCATGAGAGGTCTCTAGAGTTTCTGGAAGTGAGTGTTCAAAACAGTTATAACAAAAGAAACTGACAATGAAAGCCTAATCCAGTGTGTACTGATTGGATATTTCCACTCATATGTTTACAAGACCTGTTAATGAGAAAAGTATCTAAATATCCAAGGAACTGCTGAAACAGCACCTGCTGCTAACAATGTTTACACCAAATTTCAGCTATTATTTTTAAGGACATTTTTTTCAATTCTATTTTAATATTATTGTTAAATTTTGTGTAGTTTTCACTAATTATAACATATAATCAGCCAGCACTTTGCAGTTGTATTGCTCTGAGGCTTAGTTCTACAGTGTGAAAGTATGATTAAGTTAATCCAAGAGATTGAAATTTAGTAGGAAAAAAAAATGAACATGCAGAGAAATTACCTTTTGTCTTTTAGGCAGAATTTAAAAGTTGGATTTAATATGCTGATATGTTAGTACACAAAACGTTTTTCACAGATAGCAAGACACACACATTTATATATTTCAGTGGGAACTCTTGCAAGAATTAGCAAGAGCAAGGACACTGAAAGTGTACTAAAATTAACGGATGGCACAGCCAATCTATTGTCCTCATCTGGGAGTCTCCAGAAAGGCTCAGGCAGTATGACATTCTGGCAGCCTGCAAAGGTTTTGCTCATTTTCTGCTCTTAAGTAGCTGCACATGATAGCACACAGACGCAGAGGCAGCAAAGTTGCAGAAGAGGGGCAACTCTGAGTTACTTACGTTGACAGCCCAAGCTGTGCCAGATATATCCCGGCAGACATTTATCACATTTAGGCCCTGATGCTCCCTCCTTACACTCACAAAATCCTCTGTCATTACAGCGATCATGGACTGAACCAAAAGGGTTACAATAACAGTCTGCAGAAACAAGACAACACACACACACTGGATTCAGGTCTACATGAAGTGATAATTCATTTAATACCATAGAGGCTGCATTTCCAATGTTACAGGTAAAGGAAGACTGTCTATGAATAATATCAGGAGTAGTGACTATAATTACAGTAGTCCATATATTTGTTTGCAAATGTCATTTCAGGAAGAGGCATTTTATGATATGAAGAGAAAAAGGTAATCAGGAAGATGTGAAGGCAAAAGCTATCTGTTCTTTGAGGGTGATAGTAACAGACTGGTAGGAATGTTTTTGACAATTTAACAAATGTTAGGAAAGCTTTACATATCAATGTGCCATTAGGGCAAAATGTTTCACATCATTAAAATGGGCTTGTCTATATATTACTCAATGGTTTTAGAAATGCTGAATGGCTTTAGAAGGCTATATAAATGCACTTTAGTTATTTCCAAGATAGTCTTCCTTTATTGTTTGGAGTAGTATAATAATTTTTGTGGATATTTGTCATTAAATTGATGAGACTGTATTTATCAGTGACATTAATAAACCTTTTACATTTTCCACAATGATAAGCAGAGGTGAGAAGGAATGTAATGCAAAACTTATCAGAACTTGCTTTATGTTGCTGTTTTCATTTCTCTCATCTCCCAGTGGGCAGATGGAAGATGCAATGAGGCTCTTTCTCTGCTGTATATTTTCCACACGTGCACTGACCTAATTAAAGTAAGACTAGGGCAACCTATTTCCTCCCACAACAGTTACTGTAGGGGGATATATCTTCTTCAACCACAGCCCTTTTCTTTATTGTGATTAGAATATGAGAATTCAGCTTTCAGCTAGCTATGCGAAGAAGATGTTAGCTAGCAGTGCTCATTTTTTGGCATTCTCATTCTTCAGGTTTTTTTCTTCAAGTGGTCTTATCTTAATTTTTATGTAGACCCATGTAGACCCAGAGTAACTCCTCCCTTACCCAAGACTGCAGACACACTTGAATTTTGGCAGATCTCTGCTGCTGTTGAAAGCAAAAGAAATACAAATTGATTCTTGAATCTGAGCGACCTGCAGGAATCTGGCTTTGTGTGCCTGTGAATCACTGCTGCTTTGACTACTTTTGGCAATTTTTCCCAGAATTAGGTTAAAATTGAGTGAAATTGAAAATGACAAAGTGTAGTTGAACTGGGAAGGAAAATATTAAAAAATACAATGGAAAATCTGTGTCAGGAAAAAAAAAAACCAAACCAACAAAACCACCCAACAACATTAGCAGAAAGACATTTGTCATCTGTTGTGTCAGTGTCTAATAGCCATAAATTACAGATGACGCTTTTAACATTTGGCATGCTGAGGAAGAGAAGTTACCTTTGGCAGTTGGATATCCACAATAATAATACAGTCAATTAGCTAGCAATGTTCATTAATGAAGCTGAATGCTGTAATGCCAAAAATATTGTGCAAGACAGCATAATTATGCTGTGATGGGTGCCACTTGAAAAGCTGACAATCCTGATGTTAATCAGATGTACAAAATATTTATGTAAATAGACATAGAATGGAGTTACATACTGAATGCAGTAAGTCACATTTGTTTAAGGTGTTAATAGAAAACCTTGAAGGACAAAAGGCTTGGAATTACATTAGAAACAGAGGACCCAGTTTTTACACATTAAAAATAACTCAGTTGAACAAATCAGATCTACAGCAATTAAAAAGAAGTATTTTTGAAAGAAATGTGTAGCCAATGCTATAGATACATAGTTTTCAATTGGCTGCAGAACAAGAAACTGACACTGAGTCAGTGAAAGCTTTTCTACTGAATTATCACATGAAAATGTTAGAAGTATTGGGTCCATATTGTGCTCTGCCACAAAGAAAACTTTAAGTCGAGCCATTTTTGTAGAAGTGCTAGATCAAATCAGAGAACAGACCTGGGAACCTTCAGAAACTCAGCTGCATCTTTTCCAGTACACAGTTGACACAAGTGTCTAACCTAGAAAGGTCAACAGAACACCCAAGCTCATTGTCCAACACTATATGACATGCTGTACAACGTTTCCCATCACCTGCCAAATACCTAAGGCATTAAAAAAATCAAATTCCAGTGTGCCAAAGAAAGACAGTGGGTATCATTATGACCTTGCAGCAATAGGTCGTTAAGTAACATTTCCAGATCCTCTTAGAAAGAGCATATGCCAGGCTGCAGGATAGGAAAAAAAACCTATCTTCTGCTAATGCAGCTGGGTAGGTATTTTCTTCCTGACCTCAATTTGGTGACCATAAAGGATGGGAAGATAACAGTAGTAGTCATCTTTTCACTGAGATGCACTATATTAATATAATTCTGCCAATAAGTTTAAAAAAAAACATAGGCAAAATGAGCTGAAGCTTACAGGCTTGCTGCTATCATTCTGGATTGACAGTGGCTACAGAGCAACCTTTAAACCATTGATCACTGGAATTTATTAAGTTTTCACAGATATTAACTGGGACCTAAGACTAGGTGACCACATGGTTGGATCTTATAGGTAAGACAATAATCACTATTTCAGTATTTACGTTATAAAAGCAAGGGAAATGGTGTATTACTCTGGGTCCACTTGGAGGTTGCAACACTTTTCATGCTTACCAGTGTGTGCGTTCACTGAAACAGAATTATTAGGCCAATTCTGCTAAATTGCACTACAAGCATGCCCAGTGAATTATTTTTGATATTAAAATAGCATGACTTATTTAGAAATTGGATTGTCCACTGAAGGTAATTTGGAATTCAGCCGATAAACATTTGACACTTCATTTTAGGAAATAAAATTTATTTTACTTCTAAAAAATTTAGAGCATAATGAAATAAGATTTAAGCCCACTGTATGCTATGTTGCATTTGCTTTATACTAAAAAAAATAAAAAAGTTCATCAGACAACAACAAAAACCCCTCTCAGTATTTAAATGCTTTTTAATGCTTCTGGTTTTAAAATTGAAACACTTTCATCATTTAGATAGCATTGACTAAGATTCACATTATCCATGTACTTACCATATATATATCAAAACTATATAAGTAGTTTTGATAAATCAGAGCCAAACCCCTGCTAGCTGCCAATAACCTATCTAAATATGTTTGAATTTTCTATATATGTAGTTGAAGAGGAAAGAGTTAAACTGGAAAAATTAGACTTTTTATGGGAATAAGATTTGTAGTCTCTGAAATTCTGATTATTAAAATGTTACTGTTAATGTAATGTTCTAATCATACTTAAAATTCAAAACACTGCACTCAGAGAAGAAATGAGCGTTTCCAATAGAGCAAGACTCCATGTGTATGATGCAGCAGGATGGTGAATCCATTCTCTCTCTGCAATGAAAATACGCCCCACATTTTGCAGGATTAAATCTTAGCAGCCCCGCATCAGGAAAGAACTTCTGTTTTCTCTTTTTTTTTTTTTTATTTCTTCCTCTAAATGTTCTTTGGTATCCTTTGCATTCCACTGGTTTCATGCCGGCAATAGTATGAAAGTGCTGTGCTGGTGAAAAAGCTGAGAAACAAGGATTTTTATGCATTATGATCATATGATTCTCAAAGCTGCCCTAGACCAATAAGAATATTGTTATTTAAACAAATTACATAATATGTAGCAAAACTGTGTTGATCCTGTAGTCATCTCACATGGGAGCCCATGAGAATTTTGCTTGCTTTAAGGTAGGACCTAAATGGACCTAATTCTGCTTTTCCTTAGTGTCTGGACCACTCTGAAATGCACAGTACTAAGACATTCTAAATATATTACTTGCAAATTAATTAATTACAAACCTACTTATTTTTTACCCTGGGATTATTAACTTCCTGGTCCTAGGGATATAGCTACAGTTGCTAACTTAGCACTTCAAGTGTATATGGGAAAACAATTTATTGCATGATCTAATGAAAAATCCCGGAGTATCACGCTTATTAGGCCTATTTAGATAGCTGAAATTATATAGCCCTGATGTCATATCGATGCTGTCCCTCATTTACATCAAACAAATATGAAGGACAGTGCTTTTTACTGATAACATTTGATTGGGTTAACATCCTCAGCACAGTCATATAAGAAATCATGACTTGCCTACTAAAGTTTATATTAGCTCAGACTAATTAATGTCAGAAGAGATCATGCATTTTCTGAATGTGTTGCCAAGCAAAGTTAAAAGAAGGGAATGTGAAATGCACTGTGTGGATGAATCCAGGTGTTCATCACAAAATAAAATGTAAATCTGACAAGCTGTAGACTGAAACAAATAATAGCAACCTAAAAAATGTCTGGTTTGAATCTCAGGAATGGATTATAAAGAATATTAAAACGTAACTTATTCACCTGTAGCCAAGTTGGTATTAACATATTTTTTTTTTCTTATTTTTTTTCCCTCTCTTTCTTTTTGTTTTCCTTCTTGGAAAATAGAAAGAAAAACTAATTACAATGGAAATTCAGGAAATGTTATTCTGATGCTCGTATCTATAAGCAACACTATATAACGAAATTGTAAATCGGTTGTTTGAATAATGCCTTTTGTGGAGATGTGTCCACTACTAGACGGTGTATGAAGCCAATAGCGAAACTTTTATTGACTGTTCTTGGTCTTCAACTGCTGTCCTATCACTTTCTATGCACTGACTTGAGGTGATAAGAGAGCAACACGTATCCTTCTTGTGTGATATTTTTTGTACTATACAATTTCTTATTTTGTTCGGAGATTTGCTTTAATTCTGCATTTTGGATAGTTACATGAGATATTAGGTTTAAAGCCCTGCTTTTGTCTTGGTTTCCTATATTTGAATTGACATTATGTCAAACTGGTCTGACAAATTCTAATCACACAGGCATAATTTCAGTTTCTTCTCAAAAGAGAGAGGAGTTAGCAGCCCTGTTCCTGTGAATAGAATCTGGAGCTACGTGTTCTTTTAAAATTTAAGTTAATAAAAGATGAAGAAGAGATGGCTCTGGGGAGACCTCACTGTGGCCTTTGAATACTTGAGGAGAGTGTATAAGTAGGAGAGGGAGCAACTGTTTATATGGATGGATAGTGATAGGACAAGGGGGAATGATTTTAAACCAAGACTGGGAAGATTTAGGTTACATATTAGGAGGAAGTTTTTCTTTCAGGAGGTGATGACGCACTGGAACAGGTTGCCCGGAGATGTTTAGGATGCCCCATCCTTGGAGGCATTCAAAGCCAAGCTGGATGAGGCTGTGGGCAGCCTGGTCTGGTGGTTGGCGACACTGCCCATGATAGGGTGGTTGAAACTAGATGATCTTTGAGTTCTTTTTCAACCAATCAAGGATATTCTATGAAAAGGGGTTAACAAGCACCAACCCCCATCTTCTATTCATGTACCTGGCAACTTCTGTAGGTCTTCTGCAAGTGTTCATGAATGTACTAATAGTTTCGAAAGTTAGACTAGGAACAGGGATTTATGTCCCCAAAACTTCCATTTTTACACATGTAAAGCTCCCTGCTGCAGGCCAACACAGTCAGCTTCTTGGGGCTTCCTGGGAGAGTCTTCCCAGGGCCATTAATCAAGGGATTTCATCATCATGTACAGATCCAAAATACTTCCTTGGGGCTACAGTGACAACTAAAGCAACAGATGGAAAGTCTTCACAGATGTTCTTATCCATTGAAAAAGCTCATTCTGGCTCAACTAGCAATTAAGCAGCAGCAGTCCCTAGCAGCTGCCAGTAGCTGAAAAGGCACAGAAGAAAAGCCACAGTTACCCCGGGACTGACCTATGCACACATTTTCATCGTCCAGCTCTGCAGAAGCATTTCTGAAGTAGCCCAGCCTGCATAACTCACAGTGCTGACCTCTAGTGTTGTGCTTACAGCTCACGCAAATGACCGTATTGAGCAGCTCGATGTAACTGCACCGGTTGGAGTGCCCGAAGCATTCACAGTCTTTCAAGGAAGAACAGAAATGTATACAGAATGTATACAGCAGCAGAGTAATAGCACATTACATGCTCAGTAAAAATGAACTATGAGAAGAAGTATGAATGAATGGCACATACATGTTAATCAATGTAACATGGACAACAGCAGATGTTTATCTGCAATGAAAGTGAGGTTTGTTTCAGGCAGGTTAGCGTGACTGACCATAGCATGACGTCAAAGGCTGGTTGCTATTGGCAGACCTGATGGAACTGAAGCATTTGCAGTTGTAAACCTTTCAGGAGTACTGGAGGCTCAGTTTCTGCTGATAGAAATGCATGTCCTTTTTGCGTATTTGAGATGAATATAAATCAAGACACAGGAAAATCTTTCTCATATTAAAAATATTGCATACAGAGCACAGAACTGCCAAACTTCAGCATGTTTTAATCTATAATGGTATATTAAAAAAAAAAAGCTTTGTTCTGACATAAATGGTAAGCATTCAAAACTAGTACTGAATTCAGCTCAGTGTAACTGGTCAGCACCTTGGGAAGGAACTGTTTTACTTCAAGAACAAGCAAATCTCGAGTTTGACAATTTTGGTAAGAACCTCCTCAAACAAGTGAAGCAGGAGAAAAAAAAAAAAAAAAAAAGGAAGTATTACTTAAGAGCAATTTCTGGCACATTTCTAAGGTAAGTATTAACCCAGTTTTAGTTCAGACATGAGGAACAATTAGTCCAGGAAAGAGCTTGAAAACTCTCAAATGTGTACTGAATAGAAGGCATGCTTTTTGCAGCCATCTGAATTGCAGCTGGCATGACAGCCTCTTTTGAAAAAAAAAAAAAAAAAAAAAAAAAAAAGAGAAAAAAACAAAAAAAAAATAAAAAAAAAAAGATAAGGCCTCAGTATTTAATCACAACTAATATATGTTTTTCATATTCAGAAAAATAGAAATTAGGAAAATATCAATATCACTATACAAGGCACAGCTGCGATGTGTGTGGAAAGCTTTTGTATGTCTGATTGCTTAGCTCTGAGTCTGAACTCAGAATAAATGCAGGAAAGGTTATTAGGATGATCAGAGAAGTAGAGAGCCTATTTAAAAAGTGAAGAGTATGATAATTTGGCTTGTTTACTCTAGGAGATTGAAGCCAGGATATTGCCAGGCTATAAATACAACAAGAAGATGGTCTTCTATCATCATAAGTGAGTATCTTTGCTAACGGACAACGCTGCCACAAGACCAAAGGCATATTAACTGGCCATTGGGACACTTCAGAGGTAATCCAGAAGATAGTATCTAGCTGTTAGGAAACTGAGGTTCTCGAACACCCTCCCAGATTGTAACAACACCACTGATGCTTTGGAGTTACAACTCCAAAGTTTATTGAATTAGTAAAAGAGATTATGGTATGTTTCTTTGCAATAATGGAGCACTAGATGCAGTGATGTGGAAGTACTTTGAGGCTTTAAGTTAACCTATAATTAGACACTTATAGCAGAGGATGTAAAGTGTTAATTTCTGATATATGCGGCAGGGGCCAGGTCTCTGTGACTTTTTTAAGGTGTACTGCTGATTGTGCTGGGCACATAATGAGCCCACAAGTTGGTGTAGTGTGACTGAAACAATGAGTGCACCTGTTTATATGTTTGTTAAGTAATTACTGTACCAGTCCATGTTTATGAGTATGTTATGCACGCAATATGTATATACTTCTTCTGCTGTTCGTCTGATCTAGCAGCCTGTAAATGGATTGTATATTTTCTTTTACCTACAGCATTTAGTGTAACATATATATCCATCTTTAGAACTGCCTTTCTGCTGCCAGGAAACATTATTTCAATTTACATATATATATTCAGTTAATATATGCACATTCCTGTTTTCTTTGATGTAATGCTGGTGAAGTAATGCTCACAGTTCATGTTAGCCTGATAATTTTGATCCCTGTAACTGCTGTACAGTAAAAGCTTTGGTGTACTAGATTCAATACACTATCAGTAGACATAGTCTGTCAGATTCCATGATTCTATGGTTCTTTGATATTGGAGTGGGGAGGAAAAGTGTTAATGTTTCTCTTTTGTAACTAGTCAGTGAGATTCAGCATCTCAGGCAGCTGTCCAGCTGCATTTCTCCTCTAGTTTAACTGTCTTACCTGAGTGAAAACTGCCCTTGAGGGGTAAAGGCAGCAGATCTAAAAGTGGAAACTAGTGCTATCAAACAAAAAAAAAAAAATTGTTACAATGCTAAGTTTTAGTGTGCTGAATTTCTAAAATAAGAAAGATTGTTTCGAGATAATCAATCTGATCATTTTGAATCTCAGATGAAGAAGCAATTCTGTAATTTCTGTTTTGACATAGCACCTGTCTTCTGCCCCCATTGCACAACTTGTTTTGGTGACGAGATACTGTGCTGATCTGTTTGTCAGTCTTATGGCTAAACATAAATCACTCTGCAGGTGAATTCAGAGGAAATAGTAACAGGCAGCAAAATAATGTTGCACTGTTATGTTACAAAAATATGCAGACTATAAGTAAGTGACAGTAAATCAGACTATGCTACCTCATCTTTTGTTTTTAAAATAGTAGAGAGAATGTTTTGTGAATGAGTAACTGCACTATTTCCACTCTGAAATTGATATGACCTTCAGTAATACTATTATAGCAGATAATTGGCTATTACAAACACACACAAAAAATTGCTGCACATAAAATAATTCACTGCTACAGCAAAGCTTTCTCCAATTTATGATCTTGACTACAGAAGAAACTAATGATTTTGAAAGGCTCAGTTTGATGTACAAATGTACTCTTAAACAGGCTCTGAAGGCCAACTCAAGTTCTGATGCAGTTTGTCAATTTTTAGGGTAAGTAATTAGACCAACTCTTGATTTTATTGCTGTCTACAAGTTCTTTGTGGGCGAGTGGAGAGAGAGGTGCTGATTTCTTCTCTCTGATGACCTGTGATAGAGTGGAATGGTTCAAAAATCACCAGGGGAAGTTCAGATTGGATATTAAGAAAAAGTTTTTCACTTTTAAGAAAGGGTTAGGCAGTGGAACAAGTATCCCCTGAGAAGTGGGCCCCAAGCTTATTGGTATTCAGGAAATATTTTGACAGCTTTCTTAGATAAATGGTTTAAGTCTTAGGTTGCCCTGTGTATAGTCAGGAGAACTCTGATTCTTGTGGTTCCCTTTCAACACAGGTGATTCTATAATTCTAGTAAGTACTGTTGGTCTTAACACTCTTAAATGCCAGATGATAACCAATTTTTTGCTCTTGTTCCATTTTGCTAATACATTCAAATGAAGTTATTTTGCCTGTTGGTATTGGCCTGGTCAGTGAATGAACCATTTATACATTTTTACAGGCTTATATATATGTTCAAAACAAAACAAAGAAACAACAACAACAACAACAACAAAACCCACAAAAAAACCCCAAGAAACTGTGCAACAGGTTTGCATGTTATAAAAAATTACTCTGTCATAACAAGTAGAATTGCATTCAGCATCATGGCATCTGCTTACCTAATAACTGTTAATGCTGTGTGGCCCTTATAGCTTATCACGTAATTCACCCCTACCAGTGCACAAAGACCACAAAGTACAACTTAAGGTTTTTAAGCATACCTCACTGGTTAGCAGCCCAATAATTTTCACGTGTTTGCAAAGCCACGCAATTGCTGAAAGAGGTGGATGAAAAGTACTAAAATCAGGCTGAAAATGGTTTAACAAGATTGAAATGCCCTGAGCTTACAGCAAAATGCTGCTTTCAATTCCTAACACTATGTCAGAAAAGGCACAGATAAACTAGAGGCAGTTTAAAGATGAGTAACAGTAAGGAGTAAATGAATTGGAAAGTGAAACCTCAAAGGACAGGTAACGCTAGTTAGGTATGTTTAGTGTGAAGGAAAAAGGGAAAATAGAAAGCCATGTTAGATTTGATTATTATCTTTGGATGATTCAGGAATTGTCAAATTCCTTTCCAACTCACAGAAGATCTGACTGCACGAGCCTTTAAAGATGATTTTCTGTTGTGACAACCCTGATCCTATTGCATAAAGCATAAAATTAAATATTGAAGATACTCATGTAAAGGTTGAATATGTCTTCCTATAAATTGAATACTCTGTTGCCTCCCCTCTGTTGTAATGCTACACATTTACATCTTCAAGATGATGTACTGTTCTGCTATCAGTCAGGATTGGGTTCAGCTCAAGCTTCAGCTGGGACCAGTAAAACATGAAACGCCATCACATGAAACAGTGGTAGACACACATGGAAGGGAAGCACAGTTTTAAAACTGAAACTGATAATGCACGAGACAGCAATCAGTGTCATTTTCTAATTAAAACCACAGAAAGTATTTCAAGAAAAGTACATTCAGAAATCATTAAATTCTTTTTTTTTTTTTTTTCTTTTTTTCTTTTTCATTGTCCGGTAGCTCTGGTTTCCTTCTCTGTACTCTAACAAAAGACAAAGGAGACTTTCTTGTGACCTTGAAATGACCTGCTTCAAAACAAATATTATCATGATCTTATCAAATGGGTCAAACTAAGTTCTAATGTTTGTTGGTATCTCTAGTCCTTAGAGATGTGTGTTTCATGAATAAGGAGATATTCCCTGGGCAGCCTGGTCTAGTATTAAAAGTGGAGGTTAGTGGCCCTGCCTGTGGCAGGAGGGTTGGAGATTCACGATCCTTGAGGTCCCTTCCAACCCTGTGATTCTGTGATTCTGCGATTCACAAATAGCTGCAGAAAGACAAAACATTTTTATATGTACTTTTTATAGATAAATTGAAGAGGAAACCCAATGAAAATATCTGAGCTCAGGCAGATTGATAAATATGCAAATCAAATAGGTTGCTTGTATGCCACTGAGATAGTACTGGCATCCTTCATTGTGCCCACATAATGCCATTATTTTGATAAAACACTGAAACATCAGTACAAAACGTAATGCCTATACTTTCAATTTGCACATTGTTACAATAAAATGAAGATGTAAGACACACTTACAATGCATTGGAAGACATAACTACATATTCAACTCCATGGGTACAGATACTTCTTGATGTTATGGACAATTGACTTTTTTATGTTTTGTTTCCCCTCAACTAATCTTTTTCTTTCCTTTTTTACAATTTACGCAGATGGGTGAGGAAATCTCAAACAAACATTTCATTTCTAGGTAACAATCTGAATGGTCATTTTCTAATATTTAATTAGTTCAAAAACAAGCGCCACATCACTTATATGTCAGCAGTGACTGTGTAAAAAGCATAATTAGTTTTTCTGTGTATGCCTTACGTTTACGTGATTTAATGTTTCTGCTGTCAATGAAGATGCCTCACCAGTAAAGCTGATGGGTTCACTTCACAGATATTCCAGATTCATACAGTGCAATGTTCTCACAACACATAGCACTATGAAATCACTGTATGAATCCAAGAATTCCTACCTCTCTTGTGGTTTGCAACTTGAACAGAAGAAACAGTTGTCATAGATAATTTGGGAGCAACTGGATAGGTGATAAAATGAACAATAAATTAGAAACGATATCATATAGAAATAAATCAAAAGATTAAAAGAAATAAATCAAAAGATTAAAATAAACTATTCTTTACCATGTTAAATTAACTTTAACAATGGCTACTGTTTTGTAAGGAAACCACGAAACTTACTGAAAGTGTATTATAGGCTACCAACTATTGAGTCATTTGAGCTATAATATCCAAAATAAAGGGAAATTAATTCACGTATGCACACTGGCAATTTTGTGTTAGATGTTATAGGGTAACTTCTACTAGTACATGACCAATGGCTATAAGGCAATCAGAGTGCTCTACAAAGGGTTTTATGAAATTTACTTGCAAACATACTCTGGCCTATTTGCATAAAGAAAGAAAATGCGATAAAATAATATTAGATATAATAAGATTTTTGTAATCGTTCTCATTATACGCTATAATTAACAAGTATTTAATTTACAGTAAATATATAACACAAGCATGTAATCTAAATAGAAATGCTTTTAAGTTTTTGTGTTTTGTGTTCCATAACAAAATATCAAAAATAATGCTACTACAGCTGGCTCTCATTTACTGGGAAAGAAATAATAAGTAATCTTGTGCTGCTCGAGATGTATTGTGCAGTGAAGTTAGGTCTTAGATTACAAGTAGTATAAATGATTAAGCTATGAAATACGTTGTGAATAAGGTAGGCTGATCCTTGGACACAGCAGAGGAGTAGACATCAACCTATATTTTTTTGTTTATTTGAAGAACACATGCAAAAACTTAGAAAATAGAACGTGGGCTAAATTAAATTGTTAGAATACTGCCATATCATCAGGGATATTCAGCTCAAAATATATGTGAATAATACAAACTAAAGTACATTCTTAAACCTTATAGAGAGCACAGACCAACTGTGATTTTCTATCTTTTGTGTAGAGAATGTAGAAGCTTGCACATGTAGCACATTAAGTTTTATACGTGTATGTGCGTATCCCCATCTGGTTACTGTGATCAATGGATAGAGCTGCAGCCATTCTAAGATACTTTCCCAACAGAATCCTTTTTTTTTTGTTTGTTTCTCTAGTTTAGGAGCAATTTTCTATCTCACCTTTTAATTTTGTACTCTCTCCATCTACATATATGCTAAAGGCCAGAAAAGACATCCTCTGAATTATCAGAGCAAGCTGCTGACCAAATTTCTGCAGGGTTTCCTTGGGAGTGAATGGCTATCGGGGCAGTAAATAAGGAGAAAAAAGAAGGACCGTTATATTTTTACACTGAACGATCTTTATGAAATGTGTAGCACAGCTGAATAGAACTTCAAATAACAAAGAATATTGCTTTAACTTTATTATTCATCTCAAAAAGTGATTCTGTCACTTTCAGTGATAATCATCATGCCAAAGCCTATGAGTAATTTTTTGTGTGGAATTTGAATAGCTGAGAACAGTCTATTCTGCAGAGATCATGCTTGCAGGCTGAATGGCATACAAGCTGAGAGTTCCCAGCTCACTTGGCAAGAGAAAGTGGAAACAAAATATTAGTAAGTGTGTTTAAAGAAGTGAATTGCAATCTTTCTCAATCAAAAAATCTGAAAACTTATTCATAATACTGACTGTGCTGTTTATACAACTCATTTTATATTATCTAAGGACTTCCGTACGACTTTACATGTGTCAGTACTTATAACCTGTGTGTCTACATTTCCAGACTTTACGTAGTGATGTGCTTGATCTTACTGTTGAAAGATGCCCAATTCAGGTGAGGTTTTTTTTATTGTTGAACTCTGTAGATATTTTCTCACAGAATATCATTACTTAGCACAAAAAAAAAAAAAAAAAAAAAAAAAAATTGAGTTGCATTACCACTGTTACTATTTTTGCTGCCATGTTGGGACTCTTTGAAAGAAATTTGGGAAATTTTACATCACTAGGAATTTTACAGCATCCTACCTTGATTTGGTTTAGAAACCTCAAGAGAAGAAATATTCGGCCATATCCTATCAAACTTTGGAGGATCTGCATGCGTCAGGAAAAATCAGGTTTTGTTATTTGCATCTGTGATATTGTTCTAAACAGGCAAGCATGTGGACAAAGACATAGATTACAAACATCCATTACTGAACTATTCTAGGTTGCACTTGAAGAGTACATGATTTCACACTGAACAAGAAAACAAGCAATTGATGACTCCCAAAACACCAAATGGACATAAAATACTGTGCATAACAATTTAACTTCAATGATTCAAAATATCATTGTTCATTGTGAGAAGATATTCAACTCCAACGTATTTGGTTCTAACACATGGAACAAAACAAAAGCATGTTCTTTTAATCTGCTCTGTAGAGATAAAATCACAATATCAGACAAATATAGATTTCTTACCAAAGACACATATCTTACCATTGCATCCTGTTTTAGGGCCTTTTGAGTGAAACACATTTCTGTTAATAGAAGACATATATTTTCCAGTAGTGTGGAACTTTTCATCACTCTCACATTTTTTGGTGTGTTGCATTTATTTCATATCACAGCTAGGCTATGTTTTTGTGAAAATACAAAATGTCTAAGTATTTTAAAGGCCCTAAAGCCACGTCACCTACATATAGAGGCATTTTGTCTCTCATCAAAGGCATAAGATATGTCTCTTTAGAGCTTCATTTCCTTTAGTCAATGTGTTTTGGTGTTGAGGTAGGGTGGAATGATTACACTTAATGGTGCTGGCTGCTGGAGCTGAGAGCAAGTAAAGAGGTGAGCTGGTGGCGGAAGGGGAGGGGGAGAAAACTTCTTTGGACCCTGATGTGAGACATGGTCTTTTATACTGTTTCTTGTTTAGTTTAGTTTTGTTTCTGTTTTCTTTGGTCATTGATAGCTCCCATCTGCCTAGCTTTGGACATCAGATTTGGACAGCATTTTTATCCTCTGTATGTTCTGCAGTTGTTTCTTCTCTGAGCCTGAATAGAATTTTCCCTAATGATCACATCAGCCTACACAGCAGTGATATAAACAGGGAGAGGGAAATTTATTTCTGCATACAAGAAGTTCAGTTGTGTGGTATGTAGATTGCAGTTGTCACATCTCTTTGGTATCAAGAATCTAGGCTAACAGGTCTTTTGGAAGATAGTGTGTTTCACTGATAGATCAATCATAGTGGAAGACATAGAGGTGAAGAGAAAAGGGCTGGGGCTTCAACCACCTGATCTAGTAGGAGGATGTCATTTTTTTTCTACTGCATTTTCTGATCAATTTGTCAAAGGTGAATGGAAAATGTCTGGGTGTGAATGCACGTCCCAAAAGTTTTTCTTTGAAGAGAACAATTTAAGGAAAGGCTTCCGCTGTGCTCTTTACTATTAGGTAGTCTTTTGAAACTGAATCAGTTAATATTTGATCCAAATATATCATTGCATCATATTCTCGCTTTTTTATGGTTGTTTTTTTTTTTTCCCTATTAGTCAAGATAATGCACATAAGGAAAACTGAGCTGATTTGGTAGTCTTAAGTCTTGATTGAAAACAACCTGCCTCTGCTAATCAGATCCACCAATTCACACACATAGGAAGTGCAAACACTGTAGTCAGTGCATTACAAAAGCTATCTCAAAGCCATACTGAGGTGGCATGGTAACCCTATCACACTTTTAGACTATAATTCTATGCATCTACGACCACATTCCACCTCCTGAAACATTCATGAACTTGTTATGGTAAAGAAGTTTGAAATACATACAAATAAATGATTTGAACATTTAATTCACTGATTAAGTTTTGGTTAAGTTTCAGGAATGCTTAGTCTTGGCTTAAATTTTTGAATGGACTGGACATCAGATAGTATGTATGAAAATCAGGAGCTAGAAAGGAAAAACAATCTTTATTGACTACATTCTCTAAAATGGCTTAAATAGTATCAGAAATAAAAGTAACAATATCAAAGCTTTGTAATGCCTTAAGGACTAACCTTCTGAAATACCTGCTACTTAATAAACTGTAGGTCCAATACATAAAATCATATCAACTCTTCTTCTGATAATGATTTCCCCAAGGAATCTCTTGTCTTGTCCAAATAAAATCATTACTTCTGTGTCAGAAAATCAGTGTTAAGTGTTTCTAAGTAATCCTATAAATTCTATAGATTCATAATTCCTTTCACAAACTGACTTGAAATGGAGACTGTGACTTGCTAAAATAATGAAAACTTCCCTGACCTTTTAAATTAGACTATACTGAGCTATGTTTCTTAATGGGCACACAAAAAACAGATGAGCATATGCACTGTGACTAAGGATTAACAATTAAGAGTTATTATTGGTTATTATTACTAGTTATTAGTGCTATTTGTAACCACCTTAGAAAGGCTTTCTCAAGGTCATTTGTTCTAAACTGTGCTCATAGCAAGGTCAACTTCAAAAGTTATTGTTCAGGGTTGCATCAAGTTCAAATCATTTGCTGTCTTTAGTAGCTCTGGGTTGCTTGGTAATGTTAGTGCTTCTTTTTTTCACATTTATATATATATATATATATGTATATATATATATATATATATATGTATATATTTGCTAAAGAGAAGGGTTTTTTTCTTATGTCCATACTCATGGAATGTATTATCACCAAGATTACATGTTTCCTTATAAAGGTCTTTTTACTTATCTTTCTAGCTCCCTCCTTCCCTCCTTGAATGTGACATTAAATGCTTTATCTAAAAGCATATGTGAGACTTCCAAGTCAGAGAATATTGACTGTCATTCCCACAAGTATGTTGGAGCAGATGAGTCATCAGAAAACAATAACATAAAACAACAGAAAACAATAACATTCATTTAGAAGCTACTTATTCTTTTATTGCAACTTGTGAAAACATTTCTAGTCCTAAGTGATCACCACAAAGCTTTTTTTTTTTTTTACATAGACAAGTTTACCGAATAAACTTTACTATTCCAGAACATTTTGTTTGCATGCTCAATTCTGTAGTCCTTGTTTTCCTGAATAATTAATGTTGGTCTAGGTATTCTAGAAAAAACACTAGATAAATCTAGGATACTACTCTGTTGTTAAATGTTCCATGGTAGGTGTTCTAGGTAAACAAAGCTACAGAAATGTGAAAAAGGGCTTCTAAAAGTAGATTTTTAGTGCATTGTTTAACAGTAAAGGTACTTTAGGCACCTTAAATAGTAAAGGTATGTGAGATATATGAACGAGCAGAAAATTAAGACATGATGTTTTAAATTTACATTGGAAATTTCTGCATTTTTAGTTTCTGTTATTTCAAAGCCAACTCTTGAAAAAAAAATCTTTTGTGGAGAAAGGAAAAGCTGATGATTGCAGATTTACTAGGTATATGATTATTTCCTCTGGCCATTCCCTTCCAGCTTCCCCTCAATGTTTTGAATATAAAGATATTAAATAAAGAAAATACATTTCAAGTATTCCCTAGAAGTGCAATCAGCACCTCATGCCACATTCTGGCTTTGAATTAGGGAAATAACAGAAATGAAACAGGTCATTTCAGCTTAATTTCAGCCAGGCAGCTGCTCAAGAAAAAACTTGTCATTTTGTTGGCAGAAATTAATCAGCTCTTTGTTTGTTTCTCACTTCAACCGAGGACTGAGCTGGCAGTAAAATTGGCATGTACTTCCACTGAGAGGGACTATCCTTCACTGGGAATGCTGACCAAGGGCAGGTGATGGAGCATATGAAGACTACATTGCTGCCTGGGCATCTGCACTCTGCATACTTTCATCTCCTAAAATGTTTAAACTGACTTGTCCACAGAGTATTTGCTAAAAATCACTCATGGTAAATCAATAAGCCTTAAGTAATGCTTACTCTAATGTTAGACAAAGATAATTTGTGTTTCCTACTGTCATTTATTTATTCACATTATAAAGAATCTTAGTGAGGGAGACTAGTTATGTTTAAGCTTAGTCTCTTAAAACTTTGGCTTAAAACACATAAAAGCATTTAAAAAAAAATCAAGTTCAGTGATTCCAGTAGAAGGTGTTGAAAACTGGCCTTGCCACTGCCTATTTTAAACAGTGAGTAGCTGAGAGTTAAGATGGCGTTTCATCCAAAAAATAGGCATCTGCTGGATACGGTGATAGATGTATGACAGTGGTTTTAGGTTTAATATAAAAAAAAAGGATTGAGAATAATTAGAAATAATGTTTGGATCAGATCAGTGGCAATGGAGATTTTGTAACTGCTGAAATAATTGATGTTTGTATCAGATGATATATGGTCTCTTCTTGCAAACATCATGTGATGATTATTACACTGTTTTTAGGTCTGTTTGAAGCAGTGATAACACACCTCATGAAAAATTTGTCTTATGGCAGTTTATTTATACTGAAAATCGATCTCCTGAAATGGGAAGGAATGTCAAAAGAAAGGTTTGTTTTTATTTTTTTATTTTTTTATTTTTTTTTTTAAATCATGCACTGATTTATTAAGTCTTAAAAAAATTTCTGGGCCAATTTTAGGCAATCTTTTTGGAGCAATGTAGGAAGTTTCATACCTGTTCCTTTGAAGAAAGGAAAATTCTGCATTAATGTGAAGATGTGGTTGTTTTTGCAGCTCCTCAGCTACAACATCTTTTACAACTGTTGGAAGAATTTAAATGCAATTAGTTCTTTATGCGTCCAGTTGTTGTTTCAGAGTAAAAGCAAGTGATCTTTTCAGAGGTTTTAAAAATCCAATGATCCAGTTCTGGAAAATTTTGGAGCTGATCTCAGAAAAAAATCCGCTGCTTTTAACTAAGGTAAAAGATTGTTATTCTCACACTATTGAGGTTGGAAGGACTATTCTTCAATTGTAAGTATTTATAGTATTTGCAAAAATACTTGCAAAATATTTGCAGAAGTATTTTTTTATTTTGATTTGTTTTGCTTTAATCTTACAGTGGTGCTGGAATTCACAGTTGGACTGAGACTACTGTACTGTTGTTCACAGCTGATGAAGAACAGTAGATCAAGACCTATTTTAAAAAATCAAAATGCTGATGTCAAGACTCATTCTTCTTTATACTCCAAGAAGTAAATGAATTTCATGTCTGGGGACAAAATAAATAAATAAATAAATAAAAAGAAGTGCTTTTTCTCCTCAAGCTTTATAGATGTTGTATTCTTAAATATCTTCCTAGATTTTTTGTCCAGAAACTTTTCTGAGTAGCTGCATCTAAATTTGCACGTTGTGAATGCAATATTTTTTGGGGGGAACTGAATAGTCTTCTCTATATTACAGCAAAATAAAAAGAGAAAGTTCTGAAAAGAGTGATGTACTACTGATTGTAATTAATCCTAGATGATGAAGATACTTTGGGATGAAGAATGAGAAACAACACAGAACTGCCACTGGCCACATCTACTAAGTTGGAGAGAATGGCTCTTCTTATCTGTTAAAATTGGTGGATCTGGCAAATCAAGCAAACTAAAACAAAAACTCTCCCAAATTCCAGCCCAGCAGTTTATCAGTGCTTTCTTGAGTAGTACACTAGAAATCACTCCACAAAGAATGGGATTCTGTTCAGCACTGGAATCAGCGAAGGGACCTCACTTAGTGAACTTCAAAACTGAAATCCAAGTTACATAGGAGAACAGTGGTGTTCTCATGAATCCTACCAGGTAAATAAACTCACAATTTCTTTGACTTAGAATGTTTAATTTACTTTCATAGCTGGTATTCAAATGAAAGCATTATAGCACAAAGGAGACTGGTATCTTCTTTTTTTCAGCTCTGTAAAATTTTAATATCATAGAAAGCCTAATTGTTAGACTTGAAGAAAAATTCTGGGCTCATAGAGTTATTAGAGTAACAGTGAGAAAACAAATACTGTCTGCCTGTACCTGCTTACTCAGATAAGACTAGGGGTCTGATTTACAGTGTTAATTAGTAAAAAGTCAGATTTCATTAAAACTGAATTGAAATGGGAATATTTTGCTAATATATCCAAAATGTTACAATCTGAAAACTATCTAAAAGATTTTGTAGGTTTGTGGTCCCTCAACTATTCAGTTCTCTCTGTAAAACTTGTTCTCAATTAATTATAAACAATTACAACCTACATATGCATATTTAAATCCTGCACATATGTAGATGTTACGTACATAATCTAGTCCGGAGCTTGGCACTGTAATAACTTTGATCCCAGTGCAAATTTAGTGAGAGAAGTTCTTGATTGGTGCAAGGGGATGAAATCAGGTTCTAAATACTTCCAGTGTGATTTTTAAAAAATAAGATTTCTAGTATTTGCTCTCTCAGTTTTACAATATTTATATTTCTCACTTCAAAATATCACAATAAATATTTAAAACAAATAAAGTTACACTCATCCTAACACTATTTTAAATGCAGAAAAATATCCACCAGATCTTTCAAGGTTAAGAAACCAATAAAACAAGAATGCCCGTTCAAGGTTTATTTTATTTTGTTTTATATTCATTATCATTCCAAAAAAAGCTCTCTTAATTTGAAATTGGCTGTAAAGAAGAATAAAAATATAGAGAACAAAGCAGAGAATGCCATTTGAATATCTTGATTCCACCTTGCACTTGGGTGCACGGTCTGTCTCTAAACTCTGACTCATCTGCCACCAGCAGGCTTTAAGGTGATAATCACCCACACAGAGCTATTTGCACATCATGTCTATCTTATCCTGTTTCTAATTATACCTTTATAACAAACTGTTTAGCATAATTAGTGGTGTTATGCTTCACTGGAATAAAGATAGAAGCTATAGGTTAGAAGATTCAGGTTTCTGAAGGCATACATGTACAAACTAGTAATTTTTGTATGTGGTCACAATAACAAATATTTTGATGCATTGGTCTATGTAAAATTATACAATGATTATTTTAACAAGTAAAGTAATGCAGTTTTCAGAATTTTCAAGTATTATATGTAAGCATTGCTGATCATAAATTTTACCACTATGAAATGGTTTTGGGACTCATTAATTGCTAATGTTCTCACCAAATATCTTTGCAGATACGGCTGAAAAATGCTGAAAGGGACAGCGTTGGAATCTAGAATGCTGGAAGTGACTGGACACCTATTATTCAACTGATAGACAGCAGCAAGTACAAATGACCTTAATAGGAAAGCTCGGGTTTATTTACTCATTTTCTGGATGATCAGAAAGGATGTTTACTTAATGACCATTCATTTTTTGTACTCAAACTAACAATAAACTGCTTTAAGATGACTGAATTATAAAAGGAATAGGGAACGATGTGTGTATGTGCGCACAGTAAAATACATCCTAGTTTTCTTTGGGGATGCTTTCATTGGGGTCTTCAGAATGTTTAATGAACGCTGATTGCAGCGGCACCTGATTTGTTTGCTGGCAGTTTGGTCTACATTTGTTCCCTCCCTCCTGTCCCCTTCTTATGTATTTGAAAAAGCCTGAAGAACACAAAATGCAATATCGCCATAGTAATGTTTGCTGTCAGGCAAAATAAAACCCAAATGGTATCTCCTGAGAATAAACTCCCGTCCCCAGTTAGGGAGAAACTCTGCTGATTTGAACACAAGCATAGCATAGACAAAAGAAGTAGTAGTGCGGTATCCATTAAAGCAGCCACAACCATTGAATCTTCTTTGGCTTTATGCATTAATTGTAATTCTGTTAAATTCTCTTAGAGACAAGAATATATTTATGGGTTCTATCCTTGTTTAACTGATAATTCTGCTGTTTCTATCCTGTAGTAAAGATGTTCAGAAGATTGTGCTAGTAGAGCTATTTTTCCCCTGAGCTATTTAAGAAGAAAAGCATGAAAAAAAGCAAGCAGAATGTCAGTATTTACTTATGCTCATGAAGAGATGCTCGTGCTTCAGCCTTTCCAGGTAAATAATAAAAAATTGTTGAATTCTACCACATATTACTCCAAGATGTTTATAGCACATTTAAGATAAAGCATAAACTTGCACTAATTTTTCAATTTTCTATGGAATGTTAAAGATATTTTTCTCCATTTTTAATAGATAAACAGTACTAATCAACCCAGTTTAAAACACAAAGAGGTCAACATTGCATCCTTTCAGGTCACCATTACTTAAAAGATATTTGAGTTTCCCTGTTAAGTTTTCAAAGGCCAACATCTGCTGATGCTCAGAAATGGTAGATGTGGTGACAAAGGCTGTATGGAGCGTGAAGTGAAAACACAAGTATATAGTCCATGCAACACAGCACTAAGAAAATACAGCACAACCATACTCCAAAGACCTATTTTCCCATTCATCCCATGTCTGTTATTAATGGCAGGATATTTCTGATAACACCAATATAAACTTACTCTTCTCTTCCATGTAGTTCTTTTTTTGTTGTTGTTATAATATATATGTATAAAAACATGGTTTTAAAATAGCGTATCACTATCCATTTTCAGTCATAAAAATGTCAAAGGAGATATTGAAGCAGGAAATTTACATTATTCAAATCGAAGGCTCTCAGTTTCAGGTTATTGTCATTGATGCTGCTTCAGTATTTAAAGCTACCAAACAGATGCCATGGTATTCAGCTGTTAGCACTTTCTTATTTTCTGTTAGCACGTTCTTATTTACGAGGAGGCTAGTTTTGACGATATTTAGCTTGCTGCCTAGAGTTTAACAAATCAGTGCTATTCATGAGCTTCTGTAAACTGAGCTGATTTATAAATTGGCAGACCTGACTATGCATCAAAAGAAGTGAGGCAGTTTTACCCAAATTATTAGAAGCTTTTCAGCTGGATATTGGGTATGGCAAATTGTATTTTAATACGATGATATTTTCTCATTTTGATAGTCCTGCATCTCATAGAAGTTGCGTCTAAGGTTTCTGCAAAGCTGAGGCTGTGGGGAATATTCTTTCAGTCAGTCACAGCATGATAGATTTCTAGTCCTGCACTCTATTTGTAAGCAGCTGACATGCCCTGACTGTGTGCACTTGTCTGCTGTGGAACTCAGCTGAGACACAGAGCTCAGCTACTATGTTCTTCCTTTGTTTAAGTGTTCTGAGATGATTTATCTGCTACTTCCTTGATATGCTAGTTCTTAACATTACAACACTATGTTTTTATCGTAGTTTTGGTATAATATTTTGAAGCTTTATATGCATACAGAAAAGCAGGATTATTTTTACAAGGAACACAGTTCTATTTTTTCTGTGCAGAAAAGCCCAGTTCAAAGTCTACTGGTGGTAATCCAAAGATTTGTACAGATACACTAGATTTTCTAAGCTACTGCAGAAAAAATGAAAAGTATTTTTTAAAATCTTCTGTTCTCTCTTTGAATTTATACACAAACACATGAAAATTAATTGTCCTATACTTCCCTGTTACTAGTAAACATTTTCACAAAATATACTCAAGAAATATTTTCTGTGGAAGTTTTAATTCTCTGCATAACGCTCATTTTTACAGCATTCATCTTTCATCTGCCGATAAGAATGCATCAGAAAATCTGTGCTTGAAGGCAGATATGTTGACATTCTCTCTGGCTATATAACACGGTTACATGTTACTGTAAGCCAGCACATAACCCCTTCACTGTAGAGCACATTTCGGATAAACATCATCTACAACAGAGAGGGATGTTGGGAAACGAGATCCAAGAAGCTGAATGAAAATGCAAAACAATACTGTCTTTTTACTTACTACCAATACTGGAAATACTGGGTATGCCTGTGGAGAAAGAAAACAATAAGAAGATGTTAGCTGTTTACTGTAGTTGACAGCACTATTACATCTAAGATTCTGAAAATATATATATATATCTCCTCATTTTCAGAATATTGTATCAATAAATAGTTCCAAGCAATTGCTAGCATTTATCCCGCCCTTTCTAAATGCAAAGTCTTTAGATTTTTCAGTATGAGACTGTGGGGACCACTAAAATGTATTGACAGATGGGTATTTCTGGGACCCATACCAGATCTCAGAACTTCATGAATTTGTTCAGAGCAGTTTTGTATTTGAACTAGCCAGCCATTAGGTTTAGTGCTCTATATAAAAATACAACTCATGCATGTATTATGTAGATCTAGGGAAAAAAATGAACCAAAGGGTAGATGCATTGCTAACTACTTTGGCCAGCTGCTTAAATCAGTTGATGTCTTCTGTTGCATTAACTATACATAGCTATTTTTTTCATCCTTTACCTGATGGTTACCCAAATTAAGTTAAGGAAAAGAAATTTAATTGAGCAAAACAATCTAATGCATTAGGCTTGCCATATTGACTAAGCCTCTCATTGATTTCTTTTCTTGCTTTCATTTCAGTTTCTGAGCTGAGCTAATGCAGGGAAACCATTCCAGAGGCAGGTGAGATTTACCAGAAGAGGTGGGGCTGCTGAGGAGTAAAGCTGCTACATTAGCAATGTGGGATCTCCAGTTGCCTGATGTAGTTCTGAAATGTAGCTTGTGGTTATATCTGCCCTTAATGGTGCTTTTTTTTTCATGTCCAAAACTGTGGACACAATATCTTTTCTGAAATGCCGTTTTCTTTATATTAAATGGTATCGATTATAGTACTATCGCTGGTTTCCAGTGTTAAACTGCAGATCAGTAATTAAATTCTGAATATTTGCATCCTCTCAGTTAAATACAGTTTTCTTTCTGTAAGTTTTATTGACTTCAGTAGAATGTGCTTTACTGCAAAAGTCTTTTTCTCCATTAAACATCTGCTGTACTTCTTTCAAAATCCATCTTGAAGAGTTCTGTCTTACTCAGAGATCGTATGGACTATTCTCTAATGAAGCAAGTTGGAGTGAAGGAATGTTTGCATGATAAATGACTTTCAGTGTAAGTATGGTGGTAGAGTCAAGTAGGAATCGTTACTAAATTCTAGCCTGACAAGGAGAAAACTGAAGTAATTTGGTGTACAGAATGATAACCTGAAAGAAATATGGCAATGCTGGGGCACGTGCCAGAAAATCTGCCCTACTTTCACATCGGATGTGGGAACTGGGACCTGCAGAAGGCCAGGCCCTGCACTTGGGGAGCCCCTGCTGAATGAAACTCTCATTCAGGCATCATTTCCAAACTTCATTTCTGCTGAGATAAACATGTATGTGTATGTATATACTTAAATCACACAGTTAGGTATTAAAAGCTAAATAAGAATATGGTCATAATAGAACATATATTTTTGTTCTAAAAGTTATAAAAAGAACTTAGTTCCCTATGTACTTTTAAATTAGAATAGGTTAATGTAAGAGAACTTCTATCCACATGCCTTAAAAGTCAAAAAGCCAACAATCAATTTTCCATTTTTCCCCAAAGTTTCAATAGAAGTTTGTTTCCTTTTCTTGCAAGTCATTATAGATGTTTTAAATTAGCAGAATTCATTTTCCTTTATACACTGATGGAAACTGCAAGAGTATTAGATAAAGTACAGATCCTGTGTTCTCACACTCACACTTCCACTGTGAAACTGTATTTGTATTTCCTTCAGTATACTCCCCCACCTCAAACCTCTTTTCTCTCCTACACACACACACAAATATCCTTTCCTTTCTGTCCTTAACAGATTGTAGGAAAGGGAGAGGCTTTCCTGCAAGTCTGATCTCCTCTTTTTATTCTATTTCACAAATTCATAGTGATAAATGCTTCCTTGGCAGAGAATAATGAGAATAAAAAACCTGCTTGCCTTTAAGGGCTCTAAATTAAACTTGCAAAGTTGTCTTCAGATTCTATTTGAAAAGCTCTTTCACCCTTTCCATAGTTCTATATTTGTGTGATTTTTGTAATACCAGTTACCCTACGTGTGGTGACTGTGTTGATTGTGTTCTACTTTATGCCCTTTCTGCTAAAGTGAGTGAGAATGGCACTTCTGGGTTTGTCTCGAAAAGAGGTGATTGCATAAGGCCGTGAGACAGGATCTATTAACACTCCTTAAAAACTAAAGTGCATATATAATGGGAAATATGTTCTCAGTAGTGGTGCTCTGGGAAGATCAGGACTTGCATATCGAGGCCAGTTCTGGCACAGCAGAGCTGCATGAGGTGCAGGAGATGCTCCCATCAGCAGCCCTGAAGTGTGCATGCATGCCATGTCGGGGCTGTGGCATGGTGGAGAGGAAGCTGCTGGGAGCTGGGTGGGATGCTGTTGTCCCCTGGCATGGTGGGTGCCCATCAGCCTTGTGGCAAGATAGATCAACCAAGCACAACTCTCTTCTGCTAAATTAAAGAAATCAAGTGACTGTATTTACAAATAATGAGTTGTTAAACCAGAGCAATGTTCTTTCACTTGGAATCACTGGGATGCTTATGCATTGTAATGGGGAGTCTTGTACTGAGGAAAGAACCAGGGTAGCTCCTGCCCCCAAAATGGTGAACACTGCAGAAGTCTCTGATCCTATTTACTATTTTTGACTTGACTTGAGGGTGGCGATTTGATATACTGCATGTTTACTGAAGTGCTTCTAAATATGCACACGTTACATGAGAGAAAAAATCTAGTGCTTTCCTTGCATATGGTGTTCTGCATCTGCCTTGTAATCTTCTTGTTTTCCATTATCAGGAAATGGGTTGTTTTAGCAACTAGATACTGTGTAGCTAACTACTGTGAATGGAGAAAAAAATTCCAGAAATTGGATGCTTGCAAAGAGGCAGGTTTTCGATTTCTTGTGCAGATTGTGTCAGTATGGAATGCATAACAGAAAGGGATGACATCAAGCTTTCAGTGAGAAGGGCAATGCTGCAGTTTGCAGTCTCAGAGCAGGCCATATGCTGTAGCCGCCATGACCATCAGTGTGTTTGCATGCTTCCTGCCAGCAGAGCAGGTAATGCAGTCAGGCTGCGTGTCCTCCTGGGCTCGGAGAGCATTTGGGATGGAGGAATTATTCTGGCAACTCAATTTTGGCTACTGTCTTTCTCATGGGCTTCTCTGCCTTTGCCATCACAAGGCTGGATGTACACCTGCCATATGATGGGGAGTCAGGGATGGGCTCCTGCTGCTTTCAGAGCACTGCATCTTGCTTGCAGCTCACGTGTTCGGGGAGACAGAGGTCACCCAGAATTATCCAGGTGAGGTGAATGCAGCCTAGGGACTGAGAATTTAGACTGCCTGTTATGAAGGTATGAGAAGATACAAGAATAGATAATGCAACGCAATTTTGGACTCCTTAATTGCTGATGGAAGTTGTGTGAGAGCTTTTTTGACAAAAGATGTTTCCTTATAATTGCACTCTACACAACGCTGATTCTTAAAGAGGTGCAAAATATAGAGTTGAATTCCATAGCAAAGAGTCAGAGCAGGCCTGCAGTGTCTGATCTGTTTTCCTGGGATACATGTGATGCAGCAAGACAGCACTCCTCACAGATATTTTTTCCCTTTCTAAATTCTCCAGTGAGGCATGATCACAATATCAGATCATCAGTATCAATTTTAGATGTTCTGAATTCTATAGTAATTTAAAGTTCTGAGAAGCTGGAGGAACCTAGCATCTTGTAATCCCTTCATCAAAAGGAGTGATTATTATGATCACAGAAGTAAACTTTTTGTGCTCTGTCAAATTGTGTTTAGGCAAAGGACCACACACTGTGAAAGACATAATTCTTAGGAAGTTTTGCATGTGTTTTGTTGTGAGAGCCTTAGAACTTCTGCTGCTGTTAAGTTTGCAATTGCTCACTCCGTAAAGATTGAAAAGATTATCAGAATTGTCAAGAAGCAATGTTTTACTTCTTAAGCATGACCCATTCCTCTGCACTGAGATCATGTAGGACAACATCCTTTACTTAATTCATGAAAGTAGGCACTGGAAAGCTCCTGCCTGTTGCTTCAGAGAACAGGACCCTTGAGCAAATGTATCTACAGTGTGACCCTGCCTTGAAAAGACTGTTGACTGCATGATCTTTTCAGGCATAGGGAATCCTGCTACATAGATTCCTCAATAACAAGTCTGCCATCATACAACCTCCTCGTCAATTTCACTTATGCTGGTCCTTCAAGATGGCTTTGTGCCATCAAATATTCATAGAGAAAAATATGAACACAGATGAGAGTAATCAGCACAATACTTTAAGTACCATTACTTTTTGCCAGGACTGTTTCTGTGGCAGCTGTGCTGCAGTGATGCCTCATAAGTCTTTTCCTGCTCAGGGAGGATTAGCGCTGTGCTGCTGAGACAGAGGCTATTCTGTCAGACGGGAACTTGCTGCAGAAGAAATTCTGTTAACTGATTGAGACTATCTGCCTAACTTCTCACCGAAAAAATCCACCACTGAAAAATCCACCAGTGTTCTTTGTGTCCTGATCAATGCTTTGTTTCATGTCGAACTATGAATTAGCAAAGTCGGGTAGAAGCTGGGAGGCATTTTTTAGCTGAGTGTCAAGCATTTCTGGTACAGGTTATTGGCTGTGGAGGACTGACAAAAAAGCAAGCAGGCTTTGATGGATGGGAGCCCAGCACAGACTCGGACAGCTCTGTTTGATAGAGCAAAGAACATAAGTGCCAGAGATGATCTAAACAACAGAAGGAAGAAAAGGGCTTGTGCTGTCAGACACGTATGACTGCTGAGAGAAAAGCTATCTTGTAATACCAAGTACTGAGAAATTCAATAAGTTCACTTTGAGTGCCAAAACATATTGCAGTACAAACTATTTGTAGAATGTGGCAGCACAAGGGAATAAATGTAATCACAAAATAGTCAATAAGATAGAGTGAAAATATAAAACAAATGCTATGCAGTAGTACCAGTATACAGTGAAGAATTTGATGTTTTTCACAAAAGCAGGCAAAAATGCTTTGCATTCTCCTAAAAAAAAAAAAAAATTACTTTCAATAAAAATGAGAAGGATACAGATATCAGCTTTATATCAAGATTTAGATTATGAGTGGGATATAGCCTAGAATGCTCTTGTATTTCATGAGCTGTAACTTGAATAGGTATGAACAAGCCTCACTGGCTACCAAAATGGCAGAATCAGTGAAAACTACATCAATTCCTGTTTGGAAAGATTTTGAAACAGTCCTCAGGCTTCTTGTTGAATCTAAGCAAGTTCCCCGGTATCAGAGAATGTCTGGAAAAATCTTTATTTTGTGGGAAAAAAAAATAAAATCATTTATAGAATTACATTAATTACATTACTGCATCTTATTTAAGCACTCATACAAAACAAAAGTGCTTCAAATCCATTCTAAATGAAAAATATTTTGTCTTAGATGAAGAAGGTAGAATCTGAAAATTGGAAGGAGGAGAAGAATCAAAGGACACTGCTGTAATGAAGGACTAATTATTGTACCCCTGGGGAATATAATTACCATATCAAGGAAGGTGTAAAGCCAAGCTAGATAAGTAAGTTAATTCTACCAATATGTTCCCCAAAATGTTCACAGAATGTATGGTTAACTAAGAAGACTATGGCCCTAGAACTACATTTACTGATCACCTGATGGAGATGGTGAAACAAACTCAACAGAGCAAATGAAATTACTCTGGTCCTGCAGAAAGACTACAGAATAATGCAAAAATTCATATGCTAAAACTCATGCTGGATTAAATCAGGAAGTGACAATGAAATGAAGCTTTTACATACCATGAATAATTGCTGCTTGTAGCAAGTAATCAGAAAACGCACAAGAAAAGAAGCTTATTTAGATCTTAGTAGTGCATAGGACCTGATTCAAGAAGCAGTTATCAGAGAACCACTTCTGGAATGAAAGCCAACATACTTGTTGAGAGGAATAAGGAGAAAAAAATCCACTGCAGAAACTTTCAGAGAGAGCAGATAAAAATGAGGAATCTAGTGAAAAAGAAACCAAAAAAAAACCAACTGAACAAATATAATGCAGACAACAGAGAGATGTAAAAATCTGAGAGACTAAGAATAATTGCATACAACCAATCAAAAGAAAGTAAATTCTAAAAGTGAACTTCACTAAAAACATAACAAACCTACCCAAATGGCAAAATAAAGAAGTCTTTAGAAAGATTCTCTTCACAAGTGTGTTAGATTAATAGAGAAAGATTGGAAAAAAGCATAAAAATCTGTCAAGCTAAATAAAAATGACAGTACTTGGAGAATCAACTTGCTACAGACTTAAATTTAATGCATATTTATTTTCCTTTTTAAATAAACACACCATAAGCAGAAGGCTTCACAAAGAGATGATTGGGTAGATAGAGAATGCTAAATACTAAATACTAAATTAATTGTTTGCACTGATACTCACAACAAAGGTTATAGAGATTCTCACAAACTGAGGAATTTATAAAAGTCTGCCATGACCAGAAGTTGTTTTAGAAGATAAAAGTAATATCAAGCAATAAGAATTGCCATATGGTTGTATTCACTGGAAAAGTGTTTTAAAGGAACTCAAATATGACATTTCTGAACGAACAACTGTAACATATAACCTGTCACTTATGTCAGCCTTGATGCCAGAAGAAATGCTGTCAGTGTGACACCAGTTCTTCTTAAAAAGGACTTAAGGGCTGATCCATGTAATAATAAAATACAAAGCAGACGCGTTTTTATGCCGCTGTAAAAGATCCATGTTATGCTCATGTCTAGAATATGATGTGAAGCTTAAGCCTCACAAAATCAAAAAAATGTCACCACAGAGCCAGGAGAGAACAGGAATGGCACATGTAAATGATTTGGCATTGCTTTTATATACTACAAGATTAAATAGATTAGGATTCTTTATTTGGGAAACAGATTGGAGAAGTGGACACACCAAGTCTATGAAATAATAAATGGGATAACAAATAAATATGGCTGCGTTATTCCATTTTTTCCTAAGGGGGTAAAGACTTAAACAAATAAAAACACAAAAAGCATACAAAAGGAAATTATTTTCATTCATTATGTCTTTAAAATGCAAAGTGTGTTGCTGTAAGGAGCCACTGAGAAGGAATTTATGGCAGCTGTGTCTCTCTTTTCTGAATCTAGAACCACTGTAGGAGACTCCAGTGCAGAAAGCCTCCTTATTGCTCAAGATTGGAAAGGCCAACACAAAATCCTTCTATGTTCACCTTCGTCATTCAGTTTTCTATAAACTGCTTCTGGTGAGCGCTGCTGAAATCAGGATTTGAGGTTTGGTGAAACACTGGTCAGACCAAATAAGGTTACATTTTCACAGTGCATTAGTACTGCTACTACTACTACTAATAAATAGAAAATTCTTTCTTTTATTTGCAACAGTTTTTGATTTTGGTGGAGTAGTATATCTGATGCAACTCAGTGTTTAAACTTGTCTCATCAAGCATCAGCAACCTTTCACTGTGTGCTAGTTCCACTGTTTCTGTTGGTATATGTTCAATTCATTTTAAATGATGTCAGTAACATAACAAACTGCATGTGGTAAGATCCTCATTTTTAATTTCAGATGTATTTTGCCCTAGTGCAGATGATTATTGGGGTAATGATATATGCATGTGTATATATATATATATATGTATGTATGTTTCCATATATGCATATGGTATGTATATGTGCCTATGCACATATACAAATACATACATAAATAACATCAAGCTGGTAAATCTCACCGTTTTTCTCCAAACAAAACTTTAAAGTTCTAATTCTGAGAGCAATGCTCCCTTTTTATAACTTGGAAAAAGTGAATTCTCTTACAGAATGTTTTTCACTTGCTTTTTGAAGGTTCCTTTTTTCTGCTCAGTAGGAATTTTATCATAATTTCATACCCCCACACTTCACGGTTTGTTACTTGGGCTATTACTCTCACATTTAACTTGATAAGGTCCTGCTTCCTGTGATACTCATTTTTGAGTCTTGATTCCTCACAGCTGCTGCTTTGAAGTCTTAGATAACATTCTGAGCACTGCACATTTCTCCTGATTTTAAACTTCTATTCAATGAATTACATAGCTTTGTTTCTCTTACATAACTTTTCAGTAAATTGTTATATTCTAATATTCTAGAAATAAATGTTTTGCTTTTAATCAGAGTAAAACTCTGGACTTTTTTCTTCAAAGAAGCTATAAGTTCTGTCAAAAGGTTTGGTGATTTATTCTCATCTTCTTTAATCCTTTCTTCAAAGGAATGTAAGTCTGTTACTCAGAAGGAATTTGAATCATTGTGTATTTCATACATGCATGAAAAAAAGAAATGATGCTGTGCAACCTCTCTTTCAGCACTATGTTCTGTTTGACCTAATCCTGACCAGGACCAGGAAGAGTAGCTGCAAGTAACTTCCTTTGGATGATATTCATACGTTTTGGAATGGTATATGTGAAATAGTGAGCATGCAAGTTGTTGAACGTGTATTAGTTTGAAATGGGCAGAGATAAAAATGTAGTTTTTGCTCTCACTTTTCCTCTCAGAGATCAGCGAGATTGAACGTGAGTCTGGATTACAGGTCCACATCAGATACAAAATTCATTTATCAGCCTTCAGATACAGTTAATAGAAAGACTTTTTAAAATTTTCTTGAATGGATGAAAAATCAGTAATGATCTCATCTGACAAGTTGTACTGCGGTTGTTTTGAGTCCAGAGGCAATAAAAATGTATCAGTGGAAAGCTGAGAGAGCCTTAGCTGGAGCACTGCAGCAGACATTCCCACTGGTTTCCCTCCCCTTAATGCGCTTTTTCATGTGAAGGGTGCTATTCTTTTTTGGTTCCTTAATCTTTTCTGTGCAATAGCAAAGAATATGTCCATGGATACAAGCATAACAACTGTTTACATGGGTTGACAGTGATAGGACAAAGGGAAATGGTTTTAAACTAAGACAGGGAAGGTTTAAGTTAGATATTAAGAGGAAGTTTTTCACTCAGAGAGTGGTGACGCACTGGAACAGGTTGCCCAAGGAGGTTGTGGATGCCCCATCTCTGAATGCATTCAAGGCCAGGCTGCATGTGGCTGTGGGCAGACTGGTTTAGCGGTTGGTGACCCTGCCCGTGGCAGGGTGGTTGAAACAGGATGATCCTTGAGGTCCTTCTCAGCCCAGGCCATTCTATGATTCTATGCAGTTCTCATGCAGAATATTTACAAGCATGTAGAATACGGATAATGACATGATGCATACCTACAATTAATGTGCTTTAAGCCATGTTAAATTACGTGCAGTCAATCATAAAAAAGGACAAACTTTTCCCAGAATTAATCCTCCTTCATAATTGTGATATGGGCAGAATTCTAATAATGAAATAATCTTATTTTGCAGAATTACTTACAGATATTAGCAGTGCCCTTAGGTATAGGCAGATAAGAACCAGGGCTCCATGGTCGGCCCTGGTAATTCTTCTTGCATTTTCCACAGTCTGGGCCAGTTGTGTTATGCTCACATTCACATAGTAGTCTTTTGTTTTCTTCTTTACAGCCAGTAGCGTGAAGGTTGCACTTACACCTATTTTTAAAAAGCAAAAATAAAAGAAGTAGGATATTATTTACACTGTGTTTATTTTTGGCTTATATTTTTTTTGTAAAGAACACCCTATGGAAATTTTCTTTCTCAGTGTGTTGTGACTGTGTTTTAGCAAGTATCACAAGATATTGCTCAAAGAGCATGTTATATTATCATCAACCCACACAGATCTAATAAGATAAACAGTGCTAATTTCACCAAGGTCCAAGACGCTGAATCTTTTCTGATTTCCACTAACATAACTCCACTAATCAACTAAATTAATTGTAATTTTCATACAGCTAGGTCTACAATCTTGCAAAAATTCAAGAGTTGCTTGCTACACAAAGAGACAAAATAAGTTGTTTGTATCCTTAGAGAGTCTGTCCCAAATTAAAATCTGAATAGGCCATGGACATCTGAGAAAGCAGATTTCACTTAAATATCCTCTACAACAGCCTACTTTGGGAGAAAGGAACCTTGAAAAATGTAAGTTCAGTTCAGTGATGTTTTGCCATTCTTGTCCAGCAAGTGCTATCTTGCTCAGTAAGCAATTTTTTTCCCCTGCTTTAATTTAATATAATTATAGTAGATGAAGGTCACAGGAAATATTGTTTCCTGAGTTTAATTTAGGAAATAGCACCTAAACAAACTTTGAGAACAAAAATCATTACATAAATCAGATTCAGCATCTGCTACCTGAACAATTGTATTTCCCTTAATTCCTCTCTCTGCCTGAAACTAGGATTCTTACAGAATGGGAAAAGTAATTTCATAAACAGTAAAATATTTTTACTTTTTTTCCATCTCTTTCCCCAAAATGTTGGAAATGGCTAAAATCTGTTTCTGTTTGGAGCTGGAGAGAAAACTAGTATTTAATGACTCTAGTTGTTTGTTTTCATAATGATTGTATGTCTAGAGATTTAAAGGGTTGTCCTGTGAGTATTTGTCACCTGTTCCATACACTGGCCAATAATTAGAGCAAAACAACACATGGAATGACCAACCGCAAATTAACAGCTGTCAAGCTGACTTCCATTTGGAAGGAATATGACCTGAAGCAACTGGCCACATACATATATATCCCCAGGGTAAAACAAACTTGCAGTTGTCATAAGTGGCTGCTGGAGAGAATCCACAAGAATTTATAATGCAGAAGATGGTGCAGCATCCTTTTCGGTGATAGAAATGAGGCAGATGAAATTGTTGATATTTAAGCAACACTTACTCTAAAGAAAAGCACGACTGGTACTGTTTAAATAGAAATTAGCAAAATATATCGAACATGCCAGACAAAAGAAGGTGAACTTCATTTTTATATGATTTCTGTAATATTGATGCTTAAAGACTATACCAATTGTAAGGTAAATTTTCAAAGACTGGACACTGCAGAGTGAAAGATACCTGTCTGGATGTCAGTGGATGAGATATGGCCAGTCATGCAGAGCTCAAGTTTTGGTAAATAGAACTGCTATTAAGAAAAGTGATGAGTTGTTTTACTGCCCACTGGACTATGAAAATGGGAGATACACAATGACAGCATGCACAGGAAGGGGTCAAGGGAGAAAAAAGTAGGAGAGGCTGTGTAGCACTAAAGACAGGAACTGATTGGCTTTTCTTCAGGTGGAGATTTCTGCTTTATTGTAGGAATTCATCCCTGTTAGAAACAGCAAACTGATCTAGGCAGAAGAAAAAGTCATCTGATACTGAGAGAAGTGGTAATTCTTATGGATCTGAAGACTGCTGCGTGCTGATAAGGAGAAAACAAGTGTAGATGCATCTGCTAATTGGTGCCAATGTACATGGCTCTTCTACAAGCACCAGAAAGCAAACAGTGGTTGCGTCAGAAAATCTTGCAAGAAAAAGTCTGTATATAACAGATGCTGTAATTCTACTTTGTTCCTAAGGAGCTGGTCTGGCCCATCTTCAATCTTGCTTGCATAACTGTAAGTCTTGAGTAGACTCTGGTCTCCTCCATCTCTCTCTGCTTCTATCCAGTCCTGTTCCAACTCTCTTTATGCATATGTTTTGTTGGTATGTATATATGGGTGTATATATTCATATGCAAACAGTTCCTACAAATTCTCATGCCTGCTGACTTCCTTTCATGTTCCACATTCCCTAATGTCTTTGTAAGCTGCCTTCTCCCTTCTGCCTTCGTATTCCTTATTTCTCAGACAAGCTCGTGGAAACAGGTGGGAACTCTGAACTTTAAAAACCAGCTTAAGTGAGAATTAAAAAAAAAAAATTAAAAAATCAGCCCTTGTTATAGGCATTCAGAATACGTATAAAAAAGCCAAACAGTATTGTCATCTTAGCCACTTACCTTGCTAAACTTGCTAAATGGCTCTTCCTGTCTTTGTTCAATTAATGCCTCTCCGCAAATTTATTTATTTGTGTGTGTTTATATGTGTGAAAGCTTTTCTAGCTGGATCATCCAGGAAGCTGTATTCTGCCTTCAAAGAAAATTCCAATCAATGGAATTATAAGAGAAAGGAATGCAAACTGTCTACTCCTCTCTCCCACCAAAAACAAAAAAATACCCCCAAAAAAGTCCATCACCACCACAAAAAAACAAAATGAAACAAAACATGAACAACAGTGACAATTAAGGTATTACTTTACAAGAGCATGATTTAAAGTGAATGAAATAAAACAAAGTAAATTAATTATTGAAAAAATGAAGGACTGATAGGAAACTGTTGTAAGCAGAGAACAGATAGTCAAAATCTAACATCAAGAGATGAGCACTAGAAGTGCTGACAGTGTTACAGAATCCTAAAAAACCATCCTCAGAATAATTCAAACTTAGCTGCGTACAATTTCAAAGAGAGTAAGGAGCAAAATGTAGTCACTGCGATTTTCTAAAGGACTACTTAAAGACAAATTGTAAAAATACATTTTCTTAAAAGTGTCAAAGGTGATGTTAATGAGAGCCAGTTCATTGTGTAGAAAAATAAATATTTCAAAAAACCCCAGACCATGTGTGGCAAAAGCCGTTATCCTTAGCACTTCAGAATACTGGCAGTATAAAAGTTAGTTTGGGTTTGTGATCATTAGTGTTATACAAGTGCAAAATGCCCTGCAGATTAAAGAAATATGAAGAAATTGAATATTGAAGATATTGTATCACTAACTACATATAACAAGTAAAGGAGCATAAGCACAAACAAAGCGATTCTGAGGACTGACCCACAGGCTCTGATTCTCAACTCACTTGCACTAATTTTTGCTGATGTCACTTCACACACCTCAGAGATTAATCATGAACTTCTATAGCACGTTCAGCTGAATTCTGAATGAGGGTCAAGTGCAGGCAGCGCTAAAACTGAAAAAGACCAATAACAACTGCGGAAAGCAAACAGGGTGTACTTTTGGAAGGTATTATGGGAATAACATGCTAATATCAAATTCTGTGCTGTATATGGAGAGATGTTATATATGTCTATTTACTTATTTTTGGGAAGGCTGTACTAGGAAATGGGCTATCTGTCCCAGGGACCTCATCAGAGGTGTGTATGGACAAATCACAGGGAGCTGCTGTGCAGAAGGAGAGAAATGCCCTTTGTGCCTGAGGGACAGACTTCCAGAGTGGATGAAAGTGGTAAATATACATAGAGGGGCAGGGTATAGAGGGACTAGAGTATAATAAAAAAACCCTGCTTTTATTTGAGGGATAGGCAGTAAGGGAAATGGGAAGTTTTAAGTTATTGAGAAGAGATCATTTATGTAAAAGTAACATCCAGATAGACTGTGAGGAAGAAGAACCTTATGATGAGACATATTGGGTTGTAAGTCCACAACAAAGCAGAGCCTGGAGTTCAGCTATTTCAGGTAAGTGAATCAGAACAGTACCACTGATCTGGCAGGAAAACTGGACTCCCACCAGATCGTAGGAAGGGATGAGGACATCATTGGCCATGGAAGACACATTACCCAAGTTCAGAGACCCTCATCTATATTCTCCTCTTTTTTTTTTTTTTTTTTTTTCTTTTTTCTTCCAAAGAAGCAGCTTACTTTTCTTTTTTCACTTCAGAGGCAAGAAAATATTTTATTACCTTATATGGCAAGGTAACAACTATGATAATAAATTACTACTGAAAATTCTAGGTATCACTAGCTATTTTTTTAAACCTTTCTTTGAAAGGCAGTTCTTACTTGTTACTGCTTTGAATTTAAGTAGTAACAAAAGACTTAATTAGTTTTGAATACAAAGCATATTAAACCCAAAATTTCATATAACCCTTGCAGTTGCTTCTGTTGGATGAGTTGCCTACGTGTATAGGAATGGATAAGTTATGAAAACCTAAAACTCTGCATCCAAACTATGTGTACTGAACAAGTGCCAGATGACAGCGTTTTATGCCTACGTAGTTTCTTGAAATCCAGAAAAAAAGTTAAGTGCTTCAAAAGGTATGATGTACACACACCCAGAAATGTAATGACTGGGTATTAGTGGGTGGGTAGCAGATGCTTGAATGTGTTCTGGTAAAGGATGATTGAGGGAGCTATTTTGAGTAGAGTAGCTTTGAGAATACAGGTTAAGGTGTGGCAAATGTAAGAGGATGCATGTAGCAGCCTTTGCACCACACTGGCAAACTGTATAGGGGGAAAAAAATAGAAAAAAAAAGTGTTACTGTGAGATACAATACATGCTCATTACAAATAATCATAGAGTCATAGAATGGCCTGGGTTGAAAAGGACCACAGTGATCATCTGGTTCCAACCCCCTGCTACGTGCAGGATCGCCAACCACTAGACCAGGCTGCCCAGAGCCACATCCAGCCTGGCTTTGAATGCATGATATTGCTTATTGATGAGCTTGTGAATTTGAACACCAAGTCTGCACTACATTTGCCTCCATTTGGAAATTTCTCTCCCAATGTTTCTGTGGTCAGGGGTTTCGCATCTTTCAGTTCAACCTGCAGGGACATTTCCTGCTTGGCAGCCTGCTTACAGCACACACAACATATTTCCCTCCAATGTGCAAATCCAATTCTGA